GTTACGTCACCGCTGTTGATTCGCCTTGCATAGTTACCCGGTTACGGGGCTCGGCTATCTTCGGCTCCGCTCGGCTCTCTTCGGCTCCGCTCGTGACGTCACCGCGCATAGCTGCCAGGATGCGGGGTGATTACTCGCCTATTACGCGAGCGTTACGTTACCGCTGAGGGGTGGGAGGGGAGGGCTGACTCACCCGCCGCGTCACTGCTGGTGTGGGGGGGGCTCGGCTTTGCGCAACATGTCACACTATATTTCATTACGGTGAGGGTCGTAGGACTGGACTGAGAATTGAGCTACCCGACATTTCATTATGATGAGCATTCTAGGATAGAGATTTAAATTGAGCTACCCAACATTTCATTATGGTGAGCGTCCTAGGACTGAGCTGTGAGTTAAGCTACCTGATATTTCATTGTGGTGAGAGACCTAGGACTGAACTGAGAGTTGAGTTACCCGACATTTCATTATGGTGAGCGTTCTAGGATTGAGCTGTAAGTTAAGCTACCCGATATTTCATTATGATGAGCGACCTAGGACTGAGCTGTGAGTTAAACTACCAGACATTTCAGCATGGCGAACGTCCTAGGACTGAACTGAGTTGAGTTGCCCGACATTTCATTATGGTGAGCGCTCTAGGACTGAGATCTGAGTTAAGCTACCCGACATTTCATTATGGTGAGCGCTCTAGGACTGAGCTCTGAGTTAAGCTACCCTACGTTTCATTATGGTGAACTGAGTTGAGCTGCCCGACATTTAATTATGGCAAGCGTCCTAGGACTGAACTGAGTTGAGCTGCCCTACATTTCATTATGGTGAGCTGTATAAGGCTGAGCCGTAAGTTGATATTCCTGTTTTTGTTTAAATATAGAATCGAATGTGCGAGCAATGACTTCATTTTTCCGACATTTGAATAAGGAAAGCGTGCGAGACGCAGGCAATGGTTTCAGCTTCCCCATCATTATCTAAAGTGATCGTTAAAGGAACTGACGTCGGGCTCGTCTTCCCAACATGTGCTAACGGCGATCGCAGAAGGCTAATTGCATTGCCCTTTCTTTCGCAGGGCTGGCCTGAAGGCGCTTCCACGCAACGCCAAACTGCATTACAACTTCGCCAACTTCCTGAGGGACACCGGACAGCTGGATCTGGCCACTAGACACTACAGGGAGGCACTTAGGTGAGTGAAGATGTCTCTAAGAAACTTCGTACTTATTTCTGGTTCAACTATCTCCTTGGATCGATGTTGGGAGTAAAGGGTGGCACAGTCACAACTCAAGCTCAAAGAGGTTTATTGGAATCCTTGCTTATTTGGATTCTGATGGTGTCACATGGCGCGTAACACTTTTTCCTTTAAAATCTCTGTATGTATTACATTTCCTATTCAGTATAATCTGATAATATTCTGCAAACAGTTGTTATATCATTAATCTCCGTATAAAGTTACTTGGTTTGTGGCTTTAACCATTTAAAACACATTGAGTGTTACACATAATCACCAACCTAAACGCTAAGAAGTACATAATTTGGCTCATAGAGTGTCATAAGTTGTTATAATTTTGTGGACTATTTTATTACGCTGTCAGCATCTCAGGCTACATGACGTAAAATGGCAAGGTGGGTGTTGAACTGGAAAGAATTTCGGAAGAAAGGGTCATGAACTTCCGCTACTATCCTAGAATTCGCCTGAAGGGGGGTTAAGGATAACCATAGAAAACTTGAATCAGGATATACTGTGTCCTGACAGAAATTCGAGCCCAGAACCTCCCGAAATTCCATCTAAAACCTTATAATTTTCACATCCTACTCGGTGGTATAACTTGTATCGGCTACTAGTTTTCAATACAGCATTAACAGATTTAGTTTCATAATGTAGATCCAATTTTTCCTGTGAGGTAAAAGCTGATATTTTAAAAACATTATTTACCCGAATAAATGCTGAGTTGGTACACAAGTTCAACACTCCCAATGGTAACATCAAAATTTCAGTTTAATGCAGCCCTTCCAACGTCATAAGAATTAATTCCGTTCGTTTGTATTACCTCTACCAGAAGGGCGAACAGGCGTTGCTTGGAAACCTTCAAAACTGGAGATTTAATTTCGCCCCCCCTCCATATGTAATGTCTCTCACTACCCCCCACTTTCTTCCTCTTCTCTCCCCCTCTCCCCTTCTCTGTATTTCTCTGTATTGGAAGCCTCAAAAATTGTAATATGGAATCAACTGCTGTAATTGTACAAAGATGATATACAGATTAAATCTAAATCATCTTTTGATGCGCCTGGAAACATAATTTATTTTTACAGACACTTCAAGAACTTTTCAGCTTCCTAAGGAAGATTTTTCTGATTCAGCCAGTGTTTGGTCTTTGCGGACGTAGGACAGACAATACACAACTCACACACACACACACACAAACACAAACACAAACACAAACTACAGACATAAATTACTGCCCGAAGCGAGAATTAATCATAACAAATTATTTTCATAAAATGCAGTTTCCTGTATCAGATATTATCACTGTACAAACAGAAACCATTGTGGATTAAGTGGTTCGTTAGAAATGCAACATCGGAGGTTTAATTGGGAATTTTAATTACGTGTGTGTTATGTTTTTTTTGTATGGGTTTAAGCCTATACCCAGAATTCTGGAGTTTCGTTACCGGACACATAACAATTATTTGAGGTTATTTAATTAAACACCGTGTCGATACCAACAAGAAACAATGTCAAACTCAACTCTGACGAAATTTTTCATAACAGAATCACGAACATGGCTGTAAAATAATCAATGAACTCTAATCATTAAGCGTCAGGGAATGTAATTCACTGGTATTCGAATCAAATAATTATCACGTGAGACTGTTTGCATTTCATTTGTGATGTGTAATATTTGAAACAAATTTCAAAATAGCACAAGAACCGGTGGGGACTCCCTCTATCGTTAGTTCATCATACGAGCTGTTTTTCGCGCGTTCGTTGGATTGCAAAACGAGAATGAAGCTGGCTATGCTGATAAGGGCCTCGAACTCGTGTACATTATTAACATGTTTAACCAGCAATTTAAACGTTTCACCCTTATCTCAATGGACCGACATTCACGCCAACGGATGCTGGCAACGCTATCGGATTACATTACATCCTGGAAGTTGGAATCGTTATGTTGAGGAATTGTGTTCTTTCTGTTATTTTCGCTGAGTTGGGTTGCCGCAGCGCTAACACTGAACACTCATATGCGTGAGGTGTTCGGTTCGAAACTCGGCTGAAATATTGGATATTATGATATTCAGTGGTTTTACTCAGCACTTCCAGGTGAATACTGGGATGCTACCCCGATTAGACGATAGGTTCCTTCCAGATTCAATTCAGTTCATCATTCATTTATCATTATACCATTCGACACTACGTCAGAATGAATAATTCTCGAGCAGTAAGCGAAAACATTTTTGAGGGTTTCAAAATTTATTTAGAATTCTTGATCTAAAAAAAAGGGGGGGGGCTTGTGAAATGTCTAACTGCTGATAAAAAAGCGTGTTACTCTCATATCATATGTGGTTGAAGTACTCGTATATGGAACTACAAAGAATAAACAAACGGACAAGAACCGCGAGAGCTCAGTCGGTGTAGCGACGAGTTGGATGGCCGGCGTTCGATTCCAGGCAGGGGGCAAAAATTATTCTTCTCTCCACAACGTCCAGACCGGCTCTGTGGACCACCCAGCCTCATATCCAATGGATACCGTGGTTCTTTCCCCGCGGTTAAACTGAACGGGGCCGCTCTTCTCCATCTATACCTCCACTCCCCCATACGTCTTCAGGGAGTTGTGCTTAATTACTCAAGCACAGGTACAACTTTGCCCTTTTACCTTTAAACGAACAAAATAAGATATAAAGTTTCCTTTATATATTATATTAAAATCATGATGAGACCAGAGAGTACTTTGTTACGGATGGAAACAGCCATGTGACGTTGGTTATGTTCCGTGCTTAACGTACGCTTATATTCTCTGACGTATTAGCCCGCTTTGTGTTGCACTCAACACAATGAACTGTGCCATCAAACTGACAAATATGGTGGACATTCTCCTCCGTCTCTTTACTTTTGTTACAGAAACACAGTGCTTCAGAAGCTAGTCCTGCTTCCATCATCAGTTTAAAGTATGACCGTTCTGTTAAGTTTATTAAATGAGCCAGTCTCCCTTTGCAAAGTGTTGAATTGAAACTTGAAAGAAAATACTTTCCTGTAGCATCTATTTCTCAAAATTTTGATGCGAATTTACTTTATTTTATATTAGCAATTTACTTTTTTTAATTTTATGGGATTCATATAACCAGGTATAAATTATATTATTTGTAATTATATGATTTGTTTTTCTGAAAAAAAAATAATTAGTTATTTTCGGAAGACGAAGTTTAACGCCTGATAATGTTTTGACTTTCGACTGTATTTATACCAAGAGGTAGTAACTCAGCGGTGGTTTGTTTTAAAAGTTTGCTAATATTATTCATGCACATAAATGTAGAAGCTACCTTCTTAATGAAGACATAGCAAGGCATCTGTTTATACCATTGCTCCTAAACATACAGTAATGAGTTTCTGTGAATAAGGCAAAGGCGGTTGTTTTCATAGAATTACGGCCACCCCTTACAAACACAAATCTGCCTTGATGACGCGTGGGCTTCATGGAAATTTAACCGGTAGTTAACTTTGAAACAAAATTAAAAATATATTTCCTGTAATTTACATAATAACAATAAACGAACTGAAAATTAGTAAACTGAATAGGTTGTAATTATTTTTATTTCAAACAGAATATTTAATAGTTTTATAGAACTTCGCTGAACAAACCAACTCATAATTTACATGTCAACAAAAGTAATAATTTTTAATTTTCCAGAAATTCGTATTGAATTATTTTCGAATTGTTCCATATAGATTAATCATGCATTGAGGTTTCAGATTCCAGCAGCAGTTAGTATTAAAGTCACGGTTTTCTGGGAAGTGAAGCAATATAATTTGGTAAATAGGTAAGACCTATCTACGAATCTCCACGGTGTCACACCCCGGAGATTGTTCAGTGTCGAGAAGTAAACCAAGTCGGAAAACAGCAACAATCAAGAGCCAGACAGAACCATGTTTTTGCTAGTTACTTTCTCGGATTTACGGAAGAAATACTTTATTCCGAAACGTCGATAGACTTCTACGGACCGCAAGGCGTTACTTGACAAAAGACAATATCTTATTCACGGTAATGGAAATGTTAAAATATGGTGTTGATGGAATTGCAGAGAACAGAATTCAGAATATAAAAATGGGTCACAATAAGGCCTCGTACTGGTACTAGTCCCTTTGAATATGCACTGTCGAACAAACTGTATATACTGCTGCTAAGCCTTCTGCCAGCTTGTGCATGTCAATAATACATTCACTGTGCTTAGACTGCACGTCCATATATCCACGGAGACAAGCAATTTCAATAGCCACCATACGATAGTTTAACAACAGTAGTTGGCCATTAGTTGGGCGGTCAGAGCTTACTAGTCTCTTTGGAACCGTAACAATGGCGTTGCTAACGCTACATAATCCTCTGTGCATTGTTGCTGTTGATATATCCATTCGAAAGCCAGCTTGTACACGGCGCACAAGAAGTGAACTACAGTTACACACACACACACACACACACATATATAAAGAAGTCAGCCGTTAAATAGCTTTTACGTGTAGAAAAATTAGCTCGCTTTTTACGAAAACTTTTAATTCAAAATAAAATATTTTACGATAAACAGTAAATCTAAAAGGCTGTAGCGTAGTTGGTTGCGGCAGTATGCTACAAGCCGGATAATCGCGGGTTCGATTCCTGATGAGGTCATTGGATTTTTTCAGTTGACATAATCTTTCCAGCCGCACTATGGCCCTGGGGTCGACTCAGCCTCTAACAGAAATGAGTACCAGGAAACTTCCTGGGGGTAAAGGGCGGCCGGCGCGTAAGGCTGACAATCTCACCACCATCTGTCAGCCAATTTTCTAGAAAATGTAGGAGCCTCGACGTCTCACACCAACCGTCACCCATCAGCACCGCCACTACCACAAGAACAACAATAGCAACAATAAACATGAAACTGAAATAAGGGTGATAATTGATGGGTTTCGAGATATTACTCAAGTGTCTGTTAATGCAG